AGAGAGAGAACTGCTAAAAACGAATGCACTTTGGATGGTTGAACGTATCAACGGTTAAGACAAGTTATAACTTAACCGAGATAAGTGCTTTCTCGTTTTGTGCCGGCCCCAACGTGCGATATGTAAATAAATATTTGCTTTTATTCGCGTTCACATACTATTTTCATACGAATAGACGGACTTAAATAGAATCGACGCGAGTTACGTGTCTAAAGAAAGGAAGGAAGGAAGGAACGAACGAATATACGTGTTCCGATTCAATTCAATTCAAATATATACAACAGGATCATCATCATTGAGATTCGATGTTCTACTCTATCTCTTTCTCTCTTTAAGAACTAGACAAATCATTTCGATAAATTCAGACGAAACGTATAAATTCATATAAATGAATGATGATTTATTATATCAATTATCTACAAAAAAAAACAATTTCTAACGAGATAGTATTATTCTATCAGTTTAATAGTTAGTAGCTTTAAATGAGCTTCAAGTACCCCTAAGTTTATCTAACTACATTTGATAAATTACCCAATACCCGAGGCCTTTAATTGCTCGTATTGGAAGTGTCTGATCAAAATCAAAAATTCAGGTCTTCTCTTTTCAATGTATCAACGATACTGTATGTATGAGAGAAATAAAGATAGAAAGGGGGGGGGCAGGGGGGACGTCGCTGTAACTTAGTTGAAACCATTGCATAATCGTTTTCCAACCATCTGCCGATCACTTTTGAACAGTTTTAATGGCCTCGGATTATTGACATAGGTAGGTGAAGATTACACGCGACTACTATCCCGTTGCTAATAAATTACGGGAAGATATTATGACACGATTATGACGATATCCATCTTACCGCGTTAAATCTAATAAATCTGTTATCTCTTTGAGGGCAAATACGCAAATACAACATGAAATATTCTCAAATTGACTGCAACCGAATTATAAATGATCGAGAAACTGCCTCGACGACCCCCAGTTACTGTAATTCTTCCTATAAAGCTTTTAATATTCGTTCTTGTCATCTATCTTCATTCCTTCCTCGCGAATTTTCGACAGTTTGAATTATTATATTAAAAAAATAGAAGTATAAATATTGTTTTAACATTCTTTTAATAATTTTATCTTGATTTCTTTTTTTTTCTCTCTGTAAAATTTGTAAGTATTTAACAGTGTTCGTTTATGGTTTGCTTATGTTTAAGATAAATGATGTATGTCACTTTAAAAAGTGAACGAGGAATAATGGGGAAACCCATGGTGGAGACCCTTTCTATATATCTATTTAGTCTATATAAAGATCGTTTAATATGTTTTACACGTGTATAAAGATAAAAACGTGTGGAATAAAAAGAAATTCAATAAAATATCCATATTGCGCTTTTAAAGCATTGATCCTCTCCATAATCCCAACACAGTGATGTTTTTTAAACACGTTCGTAGTTACCCATTTGGAATGAAATGGAATATGAAAAGAGAAAAAAGAATGAATTTACCGACAAACGGATCTTATTCTTGTGGATAATACGTATTAAACTTGTGTGTGTGTGTGTGTGTATATAACACAACGAAGAAATGAGAATGTTATATGTGTTTTTTTAAGAACACTCCCTATATATCCGCTTCTTCCTTCCCTTGCTGGAATATACAACACGAAGAAACGGTTCGCATATAGAAAAAGGTAAATAATCAATTTTTTGTTCTCCCCTTTCTGTTCGAATGTCGGGGACGTTAGGCATACGCGTCAATCGTTTCTGTTGTCCCTTTCTTTCTTTTTTTTTTTTTTGCTTATTCTTTTCTTTTTTAAACACAAGTCAATCAGATCCATATCAATTCGTTTACAGTCACGACGATCATTTGTATATCTCGTTTGAAAACTACCACCAATTTATTTTTTGTCTTTTTTTTTTACGAAGTAAAATTAACGTATGTAAATAGATCAAGTAAAAAACATTTGCACGATTAAATTCTGTTGTATGTATAAAACTTTGATATAATATTTTTCTGTTATTATAAAAATAATAATAATTATATCTGTGTGTGTGCGCTCTCTTATTTCTTATAATAAAAAAGAACTAGATCTTTTTTACCGACGCGCAGTTTGTTTCCTTACCGACATTGCTTTTATACGAGATTGTCAAAAATAATCACTAGAGCATGCCACCTACACGCTTGTACAAATTTATATTTTTCTTTTCTTTTTATTAAAATATTTGTTAGAATATAAAAACTTTGAAATAAAATCGAGACTTATATTTAAATAAGAAAAGATATAACGAAAGGGTATTTCTACGCAGAAAACTTTAATTTATAAATCAAAACTCTCTTATGCGTTTATTCCTATTGTATAAATCGATATCTTTCTTTTGAATAATCCTATCGTTAAAACATAGCAAATTTTGTTAACAACCCATTTTTTAGAAAACTAAAAATACAATGAGAATAAATTCGAAAATAATTCGACAGTATAAATAAAAAAAAGTTTTGATTTATAATTATTTAAGCGCCGCAATTGCGATCGAAGCGACACCTGTTTCACATTCTCGATACTAACATTTTCAGACGGGGAATTTTGTATGAACTAATTAAACAAAATTACCAAATAACTAACTAGATCTTATCTATTATCTTCATTTTCTTCTATATTAAACTCTTAAATTCTTGACACAAATGATAAATAAATTAATAATAAAAGTAAATAAATGTGGGGATGAATACGTTTATAAATAAAAAGAATTAAATTTTACCTGAAAGATAAGCATGAAAGCAACCCATTGATAGTACTTGACTCTCTGCGTTTGACCGTTGTTGAAATGATGATAATTCTCATCCTGATAACGTGCTTGTAAAATCCCGAAAGACGAAGCGACACCGGGAAAGGCAACATTTGTTCCTGCGACACCGAGCATAGCACCAGTCATGAAATACGTACTGTGTATCCAACAATACGCATTGAATGCCTCTACTGGAATGTCTCTGTTTCGAATCAGATAAATAAATGAAAAGAAAGAAAGAGTAAACTATAACGAGCGAACGAACGAACACAGCGCAAGGTGATTCAAAACAACAATAAGAAACATCATATACAATATATATATATACGGTGTACGCGACGAACAAACTAGAATAAATCTTGAAATTTAACGGGTATTTTTTTGATAATAAAAAGTACCGTTGTGATCTCGTGAAAATTTCTCACCTTACATTTATTCGACCTCGTTAATTCGCCATAGTTACGGACAATTAATCGAAAATATTTCTCGATAATAGTAATACCTTGTATGTACACATTCTATCGGATTTCCCACGGTTTGTTTGCTGCTAATAATTACGGAGAATAGAAGCATCAAGATCGTGGTTAGCGAGTGTAATCTGAAGACGAGGCCATCACTTCTTACTCTGGACACCTGCGGAATAATGATACAAGTACGATGACCACGTGTTCGTTCTTAAAAGTAGGAACAGGCCAGAGCCAGTGCGCTTATGCAATTAATTTAACCATACAATTTAACTCGTTCGCACTTACACGAATGTACTCTCAAAGATCTAAACACCCAGATGCATTTTTATTTTATTTCTTGATATACACACTGACGCACGGCACTTGTCCAGAGCTAATTCTGGCTTAGCACGCAGCTTTGAGAACAGTCCCGCAAGCAGAGACATGCTTTACAAGTTTGTAAACCTTCCAAAGGTATAGGAAAACGAGAAATATCAAAGCAAATTGCTTACGTTAAGCTTCAAACTTAGGCGGCTCGCGTGTCCGTACCGTTACGATATTAAATCTTTCCTCTTTAAAGTTTGCGTGCAATGTTTCTCCAGTAATAGTGTGTAGAAAGAGGAGGCATGACCGAACAAATATTTTTCACATACCTATTTATAAATAATCACTATTATATATCGTTCCATTTCGTGTTATGTTAAACGACGGTCACGTTAACACATGCATTTTAACGTGTTTTATATTACATTTAGAATAAGATTAGGTAAGATAACGTTAAGCTTACACGCTAATTCAATGTTGACACACCGTGTTAGTAAAGATTAGAATCAGCATACGAGACATATCATATGTTCTCGAGTATACTTTAAGTTTAAACATGCGTTAGAAAAATTGTTTCATTTGTTTTTCTTATTCTAAAGAAATTGTTTTATTGTATATATGTATTAGAATAATTTCATTGAATCATATTACATTACTTTGTTTAACGTTTGAAAATTAAAAGGCAATTCTTTTATCATTCAATTCGATTAAATATAAATGAACTTAACTGAAGGATAAGCACAACTAGCTAACAAGCTAGCCAGCAAAAGCGTTAAAATTATTAGCACGGAGTTTGGATTAACAAAAGCTAGAATTATTACACTATAATTTATTGCCAAGCTCGCTCCAATTCGCGATTTTCTGTTGACGCTTTCAGGGGTTATTACGAGTAACGCAATAACGTTAAAGAAAACGCATCTTCTCGTAACTATTTTTGGCACTTACTCGTAAAAGATAGTACAATTCTATAACAGCGTCTATCATTCTCACTTCTATTTCTTTATTTGTTTGTTTTTTTTTTGTTTATTACACGCACGTACACTTTTGTGAAATTAGTATTAGTTTAAATAATATTATTAAATAATATCCACGCGTTCGATTCTTAATCACGATGATCCTAATAGTCCGATGATAAATAACAACACTATGCCTTATCCAAAGACTATCATCAACAAGGTCCAAACAATTGATCGTGAATAAAATCTCGCGTATCATTTCTACACGGGTTCGTTCACCCCATACTTCTAATATCCAAAAGTAAAACTAAACTATCGAGAGGAGAAAAAGAAATAATACATTTACGATCCCGTTAGAGAGAAGATCAAAGGATTGCTAATGTATTAAGAAATTGGATATAGAAGATTCTCAATTGATTGTTTGGATCATCAACTCACGATGATTGTTGTTTAACTCGCGTTGATAAGAAATTAAAACGTCAAATGAAATCGATAATTTAAATCGGTGTATATATATATAATTTATAATCCCCCAGTATACACAATTGTATTATAACATTTCTTTGACGTTGGCCTTCGTTGTGCATACAATAAAACGAACACAAATAGCGCGACACAGACGTCATAGAAAATAGATTGACTCATGTGATGACCGAGGTGGACGATGAAAATCGATTACGGATTTCTAACAAATACACTATAGAAACTTTTCTATCTAATATACAAATCAATAAACGTTAATAACGAATTTAATATGGATTTTGTCGGTAGGAAACGATAGGACGGATGCTTCTCGCCATCAGCAAGCTTACTGACTAATCCTAACTCTGTGCGGATTTCACCAAACTAACGTGGTGGTACCAGAGTTCGATGCCAAAACACTAATTCATGGGCTAGTCGTCACTCTTCACCCCCGTGACGTCCTCTCACTCTCTTTCTCTCTCTTTCTGTTTCTTTCATTCTTTCTTTCCACATATCTTTTTTCCTCGTTTACTCTGTCCGTCCGTCCCATTTTTATTTTTCTATTTTTCACACCCTTCTTAATAGTTCTACTTTTTCTTCTTCCTCTATCTTTCTATCCCTATATCTATCTCTATCTCTATCTCTATCTCTATCTCTGGGATCAAAAGCAACGACACGATATAATCGAAGAGACGGCAAGGAAAACTTTTAAGAATCCACCCACGCGACTTGACTGACTTTACAAAATATATATCGCGTCCCATTTCAACAACGAAAATGCTGGACGTTTCCAGTCACTAAAAGATAAACGTATTCCGTCCGTCTGCCGTTTTCCAACATTGTTGATATACGCTTGTCTCCTCAATTTTACGTATTAAATGACTCCTCTTCTTCTTCTTCTTCTTCTTCTTATTTTATTTCTTAGTTGATGGATACCATTTGTCTATCCCACGCTAAATCCTACGAGAATGATAGAAAATGAAAATAAGGTAATATCGATTTGGTTTTGAACCATCAACGTGATGATATAATAAAATAATAAATAATTTCTTGATCATTTCAAAAGTAATATTTCTTTATGCAATCGTATTTTTCTTTTCTTTTTTTTTTTTTTACTTATACAAAATAACTTTTGTTTATTTTGTTAAAGCTAATTTGTGTTGTGTGTCTCTTACGTACTACGAAGAAGCTGCTGATAGATCTACGACAGTTTATTGTGGAAGTCTTTTTTTTTTTAATAACAATTAATAATTGCTATCGTTGTTGTGTGTTGCTACTACTGGTTTTTTTTTTTTATGCTGGAACACATGTTGGTCATTAATTGTTTTATAAAAATTGGTCACATCCTAAATAAACGAAATCTTACTTATATAAACGATAATAATATCGAGTAATTATAATAAATTAATTTCGACGTATGTATGTATGATGTATGTGTCGAGATAATTTTTCACGTTGACAAAATAAAAAAAAGAAAAAACATAAAATTATTATCCTTCCTTCTTATTCGCAAATAAAAACGACGCGTGTAAATTATAAATACCATTGATTGTAAATGATTCAATGATATATTAAATATTTCTAAGAATGAAATGAATAAATCAGTTTGAAATTAGCTAATAAATGAAAATTAATCACAATTGGTTTTACAAAATGTATATAGTACCACGCACGCAGCATTCATATTTTTTCCAGCATACGAATGAACTTGTATGTTATCAAAAGATTATGAATATTATTAAAATAATTATTATATTACAAAGGTTCTATATGCTTTATGGAAAAATGCAATAGAAACGCACGAACAATCTTCGAGCAACAACGACATGTGGAACGTTTGCGAAGTGTACAAGATTAATTAATCTTTTAGATCATGAAATCGATACAAATAAAAATGACCCATTCAGACTCAGACGCATGTATATAAAAATTAAACAAAAAAATAACTAAATGCTTATATGATTTTTACAACATGTTAAATCATTCTTATAATTCTTTTAATAATCTCCTATACGTTACTCGTAAATATGATATAGTGAATTATCTAAATCATGTAGTATCAACTACTGGAACGAAATAATATTTTTACCTTATGAACTAAAGTTTCCTATCACTAGAGTTCCAAAATTGTTATCAAAAATTATTGAGAATATATCCTTGTTTTCTTTTTTTTTTTGTTATCCTACAAATTATCTTACGATAATAATAATGTCATTGGCGTTTCAAATATTATTATCAAAAATGGCGAAATATATCTCATCCCGTTTTATCTATAAAATATCTTACGACGACTATTCATGACACATTTCAACAATTTGTTTTTTTTTTTTTATATCAAAAAATGACGAAAATATATAATTATCAATTTTTCATAAAATATATACTACTCAATCTCGTGTAATAATGAAACGTGTCAAAATGAGTCACTAGACTATCGGTCAGTCCTTTTTCTTTTATAATATAGTTCAACTAAATAAATTCGATATAATTTTACAATAAGTTCAATAAATTTTTAAGCATTGATCGGTGGACATTTATGGGAACTAAGTTTTTTCGTTAATTCTTCGATAAATTCTATGTAAACAACACCGTCCATGTTCCACGAAAGAGTATAAAGTATCCACCAATCACCGATATCAACTTTTCTACAAATATTAGAACATATTTCAATTGGTATGGCAGACGAACTCAAATGCAACAATCTCGCTCTAATTGATCGTGACAAAAATATAGCAATTCTGTAAACGAGCAAACCAATCAAGCCAATGCTGAGAATCATAAACCAGAACCAAATGAAGATGTAAGTCTTCTCGTTGACTATGTTCAAAGGTAATACGCATAATGAATCGTGCGTTTGTATCGTACCGGAAGATCCATATTTGTGAAAAATGCATTTAGTAACGCGAGGGAAGACATAAATCATGTGATCATAACGATCCTCTTGCGGGCTACTCGACATGTGTAGAATCCGTAAACCATAGCTTAAAAATTCTCCACCGAAGAAACGATTCATCAGGTATAGTTGTCCAATGATGTTCACCAGACACAACAATTCGCAAAAGAAGTAACGAAACACGTACATTTTGTGCCCCTGAAAATAACAAATAATAATTGCTGAGTTAACTCGAATTGAATTCAATGAGACCAAATTGAATCTAACACAAGTAGTCTCTGAACATATATATATACACCCCTTTTACATTTTTTTTCTCTCTAATTATTCATAAACAAAACACATTCTTGTATTTTACATTTAACACAAGTATCATAACATATCACAAATGTCTTCTTACATATTATATTATATATAGATTTTAAATATTTACCGATGAATGTGACAAAATATATTTCATCAACATAGATTTTTTCTTGTTCAAATTTTCTTCTTTGTCAAGACCATAATTCATTCCCATGACCAATGAATCCATCAGTTTACCTTCCCACATATTCCAGAGCCATTGAGGTATATAGCACAAAATTGCCTAAGAAATGATAAAACAGTACAACTAATTAAATAAATAATGTAAATATAAATGGAAAGAAAAAAAAAACAAACAAATATAGATGAAAGAGAATTACGAAAAGAAAAGGGAAGAATAAAAAGATTAAATGTATAACCACACGCGCACGGGTCTATGATAAATCAAATAGAAAGAGACAGAGAGAGAATAGCAGAAGAGGTTGGTTGTAAGAAACTCGATGTGTCACTATAAACAGATGTCAATTGAATCTATAATAAGAAATTGTAAGAGTGGATACATAAATCCACTGTACAAAGGACGTATCATAATATGAGACGATCGGATGCATTTATTGTAAGTCTATATTATTTCTTATCGCAACCCAACAGTATGTCGCACGTGCAGGATTCAATGATAAAGAAATGATTACCTGGAAGAATAGTACGAAGCAAACCCATTGGTAATAAGGATAGTATTTCCTTGCATGTACATCTCCAAAGTCATTCGCCACTCCTGGATGTGCCACCTCTTTGCCTACCTATGGACATACGACACTTCAATAATAGGATGACAATGAAATCATATACTTGCATATCAACGATTAATTTAATACACGATACCAAATATGCTCTCACACTTTAACGCTTACATTAGAAATCATATATCTCTATAAAAACCAAACGTACTATAATTATATATTTTTATCTCTCTTACTCTCTAAGATCCCTTTCTAAATTCTTATCTCAAAAGTTTATGATTGCAAATCAAATTACATGTTTTTTTTTTCTCTATTATTTTAGCTCGATAAATCAATATTTTATAATACAACTTATCTAGGTTGCATTTTATTAACAATTAAAATAGATATCCAATGGAATTTAAATGAAATCACATTCGTTGTGTTCGTTTATTGAATAAATGGAAACAATTAATTTGAATAATATCATTATATATATATATTTCGTTGTACAGGACAATTCAAAAGCCATGCATTATTCAGAAACGACAAATCATTTAAAATAATTTAACAATTATTACGTAAGGGAAAACACAAACAAACAAATAATTATATTTACACATTTCTGGTATAATATAATAAATACTGAAATTGTCTTCAACCATCACAGTAGAATTTATGCAAGCCTCGGTAAGAGTTTCACAACGTTTGCTGCAATTTTTCGTAGTCCCTTCACCCCCTTCCCTTCTGCACTTACGCTCGATGATAGATACAACAGTGTTTCGTCTATTTTCATCGAGTTTACGCAGACTGTTTTTATAGACGGTTTTTTTTTAGCCGATTCGAAGAAGAAGAAGGAAAAAAAAAAGTAGTCTGGAGGAGAGAGAGGTTTAATGACCTAAACGACCACAATCTACGGAGAGAAATTATATGGTTTCCTAAAAAAAAAAAAAAAACTGTTGCAACATAAGTATCGTGGAATTTTATTATGAGTGACGGTGTTTGTGAACCCGTCTTACTGTAATCGTTAATTCATTTTTCGAAAAAATATATATATTAATAATAATAATTTGAATTGATATAATAAATTAAAAAAAAAAAAAACCCTTTTAAAACATATGAATTGAGTTTGAAGTTGTTTTACACACAAATGTATTTTTTTTTTTAATTAACAGTCACAGAATGGCTGGTATTTATTATAAAAGTAAAAAATATATGATTAATTAGTTAATATTAAAAACGATATAAATAAATGAATGTAAATTGATGAAAATCAGGATAATATATAACGGTAGTGTTTATAAATCTTTAGATATATATATAACATATACACCAGCTATGAAATTGACCGGAAACGAATAAGTGGACCTTAATATTCTCTTCGTATGTGAATGTTAAACCGTATATATGTATTATATAGTAAAAGAACAGGGGGGTCTTGACCATTAAAGATACAACACAATGTCGGCGTCCCTTTTGTTTTATGCACTCGGATATGAGATTCGTCATACACACTGAAAACGAACGGAAAATGTTGAGTAAGATTCAATGTTCCAAGAAGATCTAACTCGGATTATTATTTTTATTAGTTACTTCAGAAGAAGAGATGATAATAATATAATAAGAAATCCTTGACAGAAATATTTTCTTTCTTTCTTTCTTTCTTTCTCGAAATATTTACATAGAAAATTTCATATTTTTTTTTTACACAAAGATAAATATAATTAAAAAAAAAAAAAGAAGTATTTATTAACAATCGAAAGTTAATTTACCAATTTATCATTCATAGAAAAAATGATTTATATTTGTTAAAAGTTTGTCCGTTTTACATAGAAAAGAAGATACACAAACCGCAAGCAAAACATGTGGGAGACAAAAGAGAATCGCGTAAGCGTTGAATAAGATAAACCTTATTTTTTTCTTTTCCTTTGACCGACTTTCTGTAACACATCGCGCCTAGTTTTTAAACGAATCATTGAGAAAGGAAGATAAGGGGGAGGGGGGAAGGAGGAGGAAGAGGGTTGGAACAAAATACGATTATCCGTATGTAAGTGATAAGAATCTCTTGCGGAATAATTAAATGATATATAATGAGACACAAAGTTATTATGATGAGGTAAGTAATATACATACATAATACATATATATATATATATACATCTAATGTATTTAAAAGTGAATTTTTCTATACGCGACCCGCGCCATAGTTTTTTGTCATGGTGCCTACGTAGCGGAACGAACTAAGATAACGTGAGAAAAAAAAAAACACGCGTGTGTGTGTGTGTGTGTATCGCAGGGTTTGCTGCTGAAGACATTTGTTTGCTGATAATTTCTTCCATATTTTTCTGTAGAAGAGAAAACAGTGATAGAGAGATTATATTTATGGAAACTAAAATACGTATAATAATACTACGTTATACGATCTCTTTCGAAACAATGAATTATTTATTAATTAAAAAATATTTCTTTTTTTGAAAATTTTCGTGTTAATCATTCGTAGATTATTTTCTATATCCTAAAAATCATAATACATCTTTTACACAATCATTTGGATAACGCATATTGTTGAATGTACGTAGGTGGCTGTAACATAAATACTTTACATTTATTTAAAAAAAAGTAAAAAAGTAAAATATCCTTTCGAAAGTTAATATACGATACGATAGAAGAGACCTTCCGATTTTGCATTGATTCCAGATATATGTAAACGATATATATCCTATAACGCGTGTAACAACCCCTTAAGAAAGAGAGAAAGAGAGAGAATGAAAAAATAGAAAAAAAAAAAAAAAGCTCGAAGTATCGATAATCTCGCGGTTGTTGATACTCGCAATCCGTAATTGTATCGTAAAAGTAATTAAATTCGATCTTCGATCTATCGAGTACGATTTTATCAGACGTTGACCAATATCTATATACAAATATCGATTGACATGAATCGATTTAAGTAAATCGCTAGAATAAATAGATCTAAATTTGAAAAGGAACATTGATGCTAGAACATTTTAATGAATGATTCGTAGAAGAAATAATACTGATATATGTGTATTTATATATATATATATATATATCACACGTGAATACTTTAAATGGCGTTACTTATAGAATAATATCAATCAACGTGTTGAACCATTATCGAATTGTTGAACGATTCAATTTAACTAAACGACTTCTTCATTGATAAACCAAAAGCCTTGATAAGGATTAATGCTATACGAAGAGATTTATTAAAAGGAAACTAACCTAGAAAATATTAATCCAAATAAAAGTTCCAAGACGGGATGATCTTTCTGGTGTAAACAAAATGGCGCGAATTTTTTAACAGAAATAAGAAGAGAAAGTGAGTAAGTAAGGGAATACATGATGATAAATATTAGGATAGGAAGGGAAAAAAAAAAAAAAAGTACATTTACCTGTCGACTGAATGCATCCGGCATCGTAAACGTTGAGGTTATCCAGCAGTAAGTGTTGATGACATGTTGGGGTAGGCTACTATCCACGATACAGGAAATTGGATTTCCAACATACTGATTAGCAGTGATTATTAATGAAAATGCTAGAAGCACCACCGATGTAAAATTGTTGTGCAGTCGAAATATCAAAGAACCGGTGGAAATTTCTTGCCATTTGAGATAATAAGCGAGACCACCCAGAAGTCTTAACATGATTGTTATTTTATACTTTTCGTTATGATTTAATCAATTTTTGTTTAAATAGTAAACAATATTTTCTTCTTCTTATCTTTCCCTTTTATATATATATATATAAAAAAAAAAAAAGGAAGAATATATTGGTCGTAAGAAAATTGTTTCAATAAGCCGAAATACACGTCGACCCTTCGTCAGCCAGCCACTGTTTAATAATAAGTGTGGCCCACAATTTAAGTAAATACTATTTCTTCTCGAAAAGTGAACGACAAATGACGATCCTTTTGGTCCTCTTGGTCTCCCCCACCCTTTTGCTATGTGCGTTGCCCTTCACCACGCTTGAACGCGTCCTCCTCCTCCTCCTCTTCTTCCTCCACCTCCTCTATTTCTTCTTCTTCTTCCTTTTTCTTCTTGCTTGCTCGGTACAAACCGGCAATGAGTGATAACTATGATGATGAGAAGATGACAATAATGAGAATTAAAAGGAGAACGCGCGAGTAAAAGAGATAGAGAGATAGAAAGAGAGAGAGAGAGAGAGAGATGAGAACGAGTGAGGTCAACGAACGTAAAATGAAACAAAAGGAAATAGAAAAGAAACAACCTAGGTTACTAGCAACACAACCACCCGTAGGACGCACAACCGACCGTCTCGATACGAATCGGGACTAGTTTTGCCCTTACCGATACATTTTTCGAACACGTGTTGAGCTGCGCGCGACTCTGACCGAATGCAACCGAACTCGACCGAAAACAACCGAACTTAAGTTTATGGCGCGCGAAACAGAAAGGGCCCTTTCTTGCTTTCTCTCTCTCTCTCTCTCTCTTTCTTATTACTTTTCTCTTTTCCCCACCACCCCGTTCTTTTCTCTAAAAAAACAAAACAAAACGTTCTTCTAAGTAAAAGTAATCTAGTATATTATATATATCTTTTCTTTATTTTTCGAATAAATTAAACGTATAGAAAAAAAGAACAACAAGCAGTTGTTTTCAATATTCGTTTATCTATCTTTCCTACTTCTCTCTATTCCCATTTTGTATCCCCTTTCTCCATCCCTTTTCAAGGTTTCAAACTATCCCCTCTCTTCTTTCTCTCTCTCTCTCTCTCTATCCATAAATTTACCCTCAAATTCTTTCTCTTTCCGTATCCCCCATTTTCCACTTTCTCTTTTTCTTCCTCTTCTTCTTCTTTCTTCACTCTTAGCAATTGAGAATAGTGTTGAATTCTATTGAACGCAACCGACAAGTTACGTTGTTATACATAGGCGTAGAAAAACGATCTGCAAGATAGTTGTATCTTTATGTATGAGTGTCTCTGTGTGTGTGTGTGTGTATATATATGATGCGTTAGCTAATTTGAAATGCGTTTACTACTTCGATTCTTCTTTTAATTTTATTCGTAGATCGTAAATATTATACGCACGTCGTAATACGCGTGGCAGTACTCTCGAACACCGACTGACGATGAGAACACCGCAATGGTTTGTTGTTTCTCCAACGAAAAAGGGGGAAGGGGAAAATCGGTAGCACAAGAGGGGCTCGGCTGCGGATGCCGGGTGCTCGTTGTACTTACCGGAGGGGGAGCAACACAACTAAAGAGAAAAAGAGAGGGGTATAAGCACAATACGAAGAGGGGACCAGATGTGATCTCTCCCACCTCGTCTACATATTTTTTAACTCTCATATAATATGATGCATGCATGTGTGTTACATCGTTCTATCTTTCTTCTCTCCCTTTTTTTTGCTACCAATGAGTTACACACGACATTACATACACATACATAGAATACTGCATGCTCTCTCTCTCTCATAACATGTTTTATTATTACCGTTAGATCCGATTTTCGTTCTTCATACCACGAGGTTTTCTCTCTTGATAGTTGGTACTTTGATATACGACTAATAAAAGGGCTTTTTTCCTTGAGTCCTACGTAACAATAGAAAAACAGAGTCAACGATCGTTACGCTTCATTTGGTGATTTCAACGATTGGGTAGATCGTACGTTGCATCGATTATACGATAAATTGTATAAGAGATGAATGTAATAATGTGTATATCTCTGTGTGAAAATTTTTTCCGTGATTGTGTAGTTTCAAGAGTCCTTTTTGTTTTGATACTGATCGATATATATATAAATGATCAAACGATTAATTAATACTTCATTTTCAATTTTATGTTTTCCCCCCAGATTTGTGTTTATAAGAGAAGTATTATATATTTTTCTATATTTTTTGATTTCAACAATATATAATGATAATATTTTTACAAAATACAATAATTATATTACTTTAGCGTGGATTGATTTTATATAAGAAAACAAAAGAAAAGATTTAGAGAATAATTAGGATCATAAAGAGATGATCGTACCGAATGAAGTCGGTGCTGCCAGCTATCGAACGCATATAACATTACAGTGTACATGAAAAAAAGAAAAGAAAGAAAATAAAAAAAAAAAGTAATATCTATCTCTCAGCTTGTATTTTTTGAACAATATTATTTCCTACAGTTGTTCTCTCTTTTTCTTCTTCTTCTTCTTCTATTACAAATGATTTCAAACGGTCGAAGTAATCGGATAAGGTTCTTAAGAATTTCTTAGAAAATTTCAAAAAAAATGAGAAAACGTCGGACCGATAAAATTCCCATAGAGTTTGAAGAAAAAAATATCACTAAGGGAGTCTGACAACTAAAAACCCGTTTATGTACAAAATAGATGAGAAACACATGTGTGTTACTATATATATTTTTCTTTCAGGCATAGAAGGAGTCAAGTTTTCTTGTCCTCCTAAAAAAAACAAGATTATATCGATCGATTCACAAAATTTCTATATTCATAATACCCCATAAAAAGAATCGTACAAATAAAGGCCATGTAATTTATATAATCGTTTGAAAAAATTTATACGAATCTCGTACAAAAGTATTTTTTTCCTTAGAAATATCTTTTTTTTCATTTGACTGAAAAATTTCATTAATATATTTTTTTACAAAGATTTTATTGTTAACACTTTATAATCCTCCTCTTCCTCCTCTTCCAACCTTCTTTTTGTGAAATCTTGCTCGAAGGTCCTTTGAGAGAAAAAAAAAATATTGTTGAAAGTTTCCTTCGAAACGTACTAAATTCCGTCCCTTCTCTCTCTCTCTCTCTCTTTCTCTTTTTTCTGACCGTTTCTTTTTCTTTGGTCTCCTTGAATGCACGGTCAGACACAACGAACACCGTAGTCTGTAGTTTTACTTTCTACTGCATTTATAAGTCTCTTTTATACTTTTCTTTTCCTTTTTTTTTTTAATTTTTTTTTTATTTGAACATACCATATAAGTACTAACTACCAGATGATCGTGGTATCGTGAAATGACTATGACTAACATTACTTGCAAAGATTACTTGATTACTTACATTCTTCCGTATTCCTCGCATACGAGCTTTAAGTCATCGCAAGTTTAGAAATGTTCTTTTTAATCGTTTACTTTGAGTCACGAATGTGTGTAAATGCATCAGTAATAATGAAATCACAGTTTTAAAAAAAAAAGGAAAAATTCAAATCCCATTAACCCGCATCCTGCTTCCGTTCGCGACGTCAAGTTTTTATATATGTGTTAAACGCATACAATACGCGTCATACCTATTGTTTATATTTATTACTTTTTTCTTTTTTCTTTTCCTTGCGGTTGTGTGTTTCGCGTTATTCTACGTTAAATTAATTATTTATAGTGCACATTTCGTAACGTTCGAAAAAATAATAAAAAGATTGTGAAAATATTTAATATATTAAAAGTTGGTAATAAAAAAGAAAAAAATGATACGTTGTATCATACAATATAATACAATTATATTTATATAATATAATAATATTATATACCTCCTATAAAATAAAAATAAATCTAAAATATATACTTGTATAACAATATATAATAATAAAATTATTATATATCGATGATGACAAAACATAAATATTTCTTTCAATATATAAAACTCAAGGCAAGTTTTTGTCTTCCTACGTCGCTGCATATGTTAATGTTCCTGCGTCCTCTTCACCGTACCAGAAGCGGTTCACGAACCAGATGTGCAACATGATGCAACCAACAGTTGTAACTTTTGCTTCGGCACAGCAACGCGATACTACAGAGCATGCTTTTCCTCGACTGTCTACTATAATATCTCAACAGTTAAGATATCCGTCTTCTTCTTCATCTTCATATTCTTATTATTATTATTTTTTTTTTCTTCTTCTTTGCAAGGACAATTTCAAATATATGTGTGTGGTAAGAAACGTTGAGTCTCGCGTTTTAACCTTTCCCCAAGAACGATTTTTGTTTGAGTTAAATATTAGTATATATGATGAGATACCTAAAATAAATATTCATCGTCGATAATATTCCTTGTCGATCTTTTTTTTTCTTCGATATTCTATGATATAGAGAATATATTTTATGTAAAATGTAAATAAATTTTTAAAATATAACCAAAAAAATAGAAGAAATATCACACACACACACAGTTTGGCATTATATTTTATGGTAGATTATAGTTGCATGTTTTTCGATTTGACTATTTTATAAGATAACGACACTGTCATCTTATACCATCTATATATACACATATACGATCACACACTTACTCAGAGAACAAGTTTAATTATAAGATGTAACACAAAACTCTATATAATTCACTTAATAATTATATCTATATATAAAAAATGATTTATTTTATTAGTTAGAAAATAATAAAGAAAGTAAATTATATAATTATCCATAAATTTTGTAATATCAATATTATTTAGTCATCAATTTTATCAAAATGATATTTAAACGATGCTATTTTGTTTCCCATTACGATAAACAGGTAACATTAATAAATCGTAAACATATGTGTTATGTGGGGGGTATTTATAAAAAGAACAAAAAAAAAATACCTGTTATTTGATAGCACCAAACTTAATGTGAATTTCTTTATCCACGATATATCTATTTAAAACGCATACACAGATGCTATTTTGTTCCCCATTACGATAAACAGGCAACATTAATAAATCTTAAACGTATGTGTTATGTGGGGGGTATTTATAAAAAGAAAAAAAGAAAAAAAATACCTGTTATTT